TGCATCAAAAGGAGCATGGCCAGCAGGTCAAAGGGGATGATTCTTGCCCTCTACTCTGCTCTTGTGAGACCCCACCTGCAGTGCTGCGATTGGTTCTGGTGTGCCCAACATAAGGACACGGCACTGTTGGAGCAAGTCTAGAGAAGGGCCACAAAGTTGCTAAGAGGACTGACTGGCTCACCTCCTGTGCAAAAACGGGCTGATGAAGTTGGAGCTGTTCAGCCTGCAGAAGGCTACATGGAGACCTCATAGCAACCTTCCAGCATCTGAAGGAGGCCTACAGGGAAGCTGGAGAGGGACTCTTCCTCAGGAACTGTAGTGACACGACAAGAAATAACAAATTGAAAGAGAGGAAATTTAGGTTAGATATTAGGAAGAGGTTTTGCATGGCAGGGGCGGTTAAACACTGGCATAGGTTGCCCAGGGAGGTTGTAGATGCCCCAACCCTGGCAGTGTCCAAAGGCAGGTTGAATAAGGCCTTGAGCAACCCGGTCCAGTGGGAGATGCCCCTGACCATGGCAGGGTTGGGACTAGATGATCTTTAAGGTCCATTACAACCCCTTAACATCCTAGGATTCTATAATTACACACGTCTCTTTGTTAAGCAGAATAAGGGACATTTTGTTTTGTTTTTCTCATGAAAATCTCTGTTTTGATCTGATCAGATGAATGATCCAGAAACAAAAGGCTCTGCTTGACTGTCTAGTGTGCCTGCACCTTAATGTGACAGAGCTTTCCACGCATTTTGAAATTTCATTACAGAGAAACTGAGCTAAGGAGACTAGTACAATGTCTGGAAACGTTTTGAATGCCCATATAATTTTATTGTTCTTTTAATTTTAGTTCAAAGAAGATGGACTTTTATGTTATACTTGATATGTAACCTCCAGCTTGCTTGCTGGGAAACTTGCTTTCCAAATATTGATAATACAATACTTGGTGTTACTGTGTATTCATGTGAACTTAAAATCTTCATCATTTAAAAACTGGTTACATTCTTTACCAGTGAACACTTAGCAGTGTATTCAATGTCTAACGTATTAAAAACTTGTCACTTCAAATTTCTCAAGATTGATTTCAGCAGAAATTAAGTGGTTTGGGTCCTGTGCATCTTCAGTCACATCCAATTTTGCCCAATATGTTTTGCTGCATTTGGTTCTGAATTAGTATTCTTACTTTTCTCATCTGGTGAACAACCCACACTTTCTGTTGAATTCAGAAAATTTACCAACAATTGGTTCAAGTGTAAACCAGTAGGATGACCAGATCCAGGCCCTCCTTTCCACCACTTTTAACAATCGCATCACTACACCAGTTTAGATCTGGAAAACCTCTCACCAGATGTAAAAATGAACGGCAAGGTTACTTTTGTAGTATAATAATAGAGCATTTATCATGGTAACAGACCTATTATGGTTCATCCATTTGGCCATATTTTATTTTATTATAAATGGTGAACTCAACTCCCTACTCCCTTCTCACAAAACTTATGTAAGTAGCTTTATGAAAAGAGGAATCAGGGCTTCAGACTGCGTGTCTAGTCAGTGCACAAGAGTCTCTGGGCTATCCAGAGAAAGCTCCCATGGAAGGGCATGGTAGCTGAGAAACACAAGTACAGCACACTCCAGAAAACTCAGTGAGCGTCCTGGAGACACCACCTGCTTCCCTTGACACCATCACAAGCCAATGATTCTCCTTCCACTTGTGCCAAGGATATGATTGGGATGCAAATATTAATACCTGTAAACTTATAAAGGTCAGATAGAAGATGTCATAGAATTTCCAAGTTTCACAATAGCAATAAAGCAGCATCACCACGAGCAGCAGCATTTATCTGAGAAGGAGAGAGCGTTCACAGCAGTGTTCATACACCCAGAGAAGCCAGTGCATTAGGAACTCTGTGAGGCATGTGTATTCCAGCCCCAGGTATTGCTGTACTCAGCAGAACGGTAAGACCGAGCTGGTGTGCAGCACTTGAAGGTGCGTCCTGAGAAGCTGAGGATTTCTGTCCCTTTGCAAAGGGACCATGCACTGACCATTAAATGTTCTAGGATGGTGGGGTTTCAGCTATGCTACTGTTAAAACATATGGAAGCCATAGCAGTCAAAAGCTGTTCCTTCCTGACCTGCAGCTTTCTTCCACTAATTAGAGGGTAGATTGTATTTGTTAGGCAGTGAACACTGTCAGGTGGTTTCTACTTTCTGCTGTGAAAACAGCTTCTAATGGTATTAGTTTAGTGCAAAAAGTGAACTGTTTTGTGCACTAGTTGAAATCCCGGAAGAACTAGAATCCTATTTTCAAAAAGCTAGGATAAAACAAGCTCCTTTAAAGTCTAAAAAAATATATAACTGAAATAACTAAAGCACTAGAACATAGTATTTCTTTAAAAGAAAAAAGCAGAAAATGGTCCCATATATTCTTGGGTCTCCAGTAGAAAACTGACATAAATGGCTTTTCTGGTATAAAGGCAACTACATAATAGATATGTTAAAAATTCACAGTGAAAAGGAAAAATAAATAATCCTTCAAGCTTCCCTTGTACCAGAGAAACAGGATTCTTTGCAACTGCAAGCTGACAGTGTCAAAGGGGACCAACGCCCTTTAAGTGCTTTAAAGTAGCTGATATTGAAATGGGATAAACAAGGAGTAGGATCAACAGAAGTATGCTCACTGTACAAAAGTTCAACTGAAAACATAACTTATGCCACATTATTTTGTAAAGTTATCTAACTTTAAGTAAAAGTAGATAAGAAATTAATAACAGAATGAATTTTAACATTTTAGTCATTTTTGTCATCACGATTTTTCTTTTCATAAGAACTACTTCATCAAGCTGATGACAAATCATAGGTGAAAGTTTATTAAGACAGAAGAAAAACAAGGGTTATCTGATTTTACACTCAAGACATCAAAAAATGGAAGTCTTTAACAATAAAGCTTCTTTCAGAACCCAGGAAACAAAGCCATTATGCTGTGCAAACACCTTTCAATAAAGTACATTCAGCTTCAGGCAAAGAACAGTGTTCCTCATATCCCTATTGTTTGAAGATAATTACTCTGCTAAAATTTTGTTTTCGTGAAGTGAAACTGTTGCCCATTTGCCAGGGATCTTTTCCAAAGTGTAGATAGACTCTGTGAAAAGCTGCTTGCGATAAAATTTATTCTACTGAAAGAGCAATATATGATATTCTACTGAAAAATTGGCAAAATTATGTAATTTTGGGAAATTAAAGTGAATTGAGTGGTGATTTTGTGGTTTGGGGTTTGGTTTTTTTTTAAAGCGTAATGGTTTACCCAAGCTGGAACATCAAAGATGACACTTTGACGTGTGCTTGTACCCACAGAGTTGAATAATCACATACAGGATCATCTACTGCTGCTAGGCAGCTTTCAAAGGTGATGCTACTGTCTGAAGCTCCTCTTAGGGCTGCAAATTTTATTTGTACATAGTAACTGTGAACCAAGTCCCAGAGTTTTGAAAGCTACAAAAACTGTTCAAGAACCTGGAAAGACTTGCAACTCATCAGAGTAACGCTGTGACCATTATTCTTGTAAAATGAAATCAGAAACCTACATTCTTATGGATTACTGGACCGAGTCCTACAGTTTCAATCCCATACAATTTTAGAGGCTTTCATTTTAACTTCCTCCCTCCATTCACCATGAGAGACATAAATTGCAAGACTGAAATAAACAGGACTTTCTTACGTAAGACCTGCCCAACAACTCTTCTAGCTTGGTGCTCTGCTGAACAGAGACTTGAAATGGAGGAATAGTATCAAAATACATAGCTCTGCATCACATGTGACCTTTTTCCCCAGCTCTGAAAGATAAAAGCCAAGATTTCTAGCAAGAGTGGCAGCGTCCACAGCACAAGATCAGAAGGAAATTCTGTGAACTGTGGAAAGCTCATCTTCCTATTCTCCTTATTCTGCTGCTAAGAGATTGTGCTCCTTGCTTCAAGCAGACAGCTAGAACACCCTAACAAGCTGGAGAGACTTGCGATAGACATTCTTGGATGAGCCATTTCACCTTTGGTACTTAAAGAAGGTTCTAGATATGCTACTAAGTCTTTCAACCGTATACCATACAACCTGACTGAGCGAGAATAGAATACAACTATTTACACCTCCCATTTTCCATCAGGATTTTTTACTTTGGTTTTGGTCCTAATCTTCTGTGGAACTTATATGCACTAGTCAGAGAAGGCTAAATGTTTAACTAGCAATGTAAGTTTGTCATGAGGAAGACGTGAGAAATGGACCTACTGACTAAACCCAGGATTTTAACAAAACAAGTTTTTTCTATATTGTAAAAGAAATGTGTACAATGGTCTTGTTATAATTCTAATAACTTCTTAATGCAGAAATATTACACATAATTCCTGATTTACATAGCCTTACACGTACTTTTCTGTGAAACACATGTTAAATAAAAATATTGGTCCCACTCTTAAGTGTATTTACTTGGTAAGAAGAACACAGGCTACAGGAGTGGCATATTCTAAATCAAAAAAACCCTAAAAATATTCTAAAAGAAAAGAAAAAGCCTTTCATGTTTTCTTAGTTCTCGTAAGTCTCATTCCCATGACAGCAGAAGTGAGCTGTTAGGTGTTTACTGTCATTACAGAGAAGGTGAGCACAAGCACATAAGTTAGAGCAGTCTGCTTGCCAGCTCTCTAGTTAGGAGGACTTTCAAAACTCTGTCATCCTGACTGGAAGATTAATAGCTGCTTCCTCCTGAATAAACCTTGAAACGAAAATTGCGGAACTTGTTGATGGCCTCCCTCACATGATACATTTATAAACTTTTACTCTATAGTTTTTCTTCCCCATTCAAAAAGTTCTTACCCTTCTCTGATGCAATATTTAATCACAAGCAATATAAAATTATCTTTCTGTCACAAAGGCAGATCCTACAAATCCCTTTTACTGTGTACAGTCTTGATTCTGCTGTACTGAACAGTAAGAGAGGTTTGCAGAAATATCTACATGTTTTTCGAAAGTTATCTAGAACCAAAGCTCAGTCTTACACCCAAGCCATGTTAGGAAATTGACTTCATCTGAACATTTTCTTGAAATCACTGCTGCCCATTCCTTTTTCTTGCATACAAGCCGAGGCAGGCGCAGAATCCGACGACACTGACAGCGAGGCCTAGAAGGAAGGCAATAGTATCTCCAGCATCCAGGGCTTCAACCACTGGTAGCACCAGCAGCAATGAGAAGAGGACCAGGAAGAGTTTAGAGGTGTTCTCGATAGAAGGCATGCTGATGACCAGCTGAACCCAAGGTGAAGTTAAATGAGGAAAGTGGTGGAAAGCAGGTACTTCAGCAGTATCTACAAGGAAAACAAAGGGAACATGGCAGGATTTCCCTTCTCACTGGGTTTGTCTTGCCAAAAGCCAAGTGATATTATTGATGTATTACAGATGTCTGTGTGGGGCTCAGGAAATTTAGGTTTTATCTTCCCAATTACAAAAGCAAATGACTTACTATCATGAGACAGCCACAGTGGGTTTGTTATCTTGTTATGTAATCCTGTGAAATCTAATCTTTTGGTGTCTTACCACGAGGTCAAGTCAGAATAGGCTCTCCTGTCTGCAGCTACCAGAGCCTGCCTACCTGCTGTGCTACGTGGGCCTGTTCCACCAGGTGTTTAGGCTGTGTAGCTCCTGAACATCACTCACCCACACCCCCTAGTACCGGGCATCCTCGGGATCCAAGCGCACGGCCAGACTATGGCACACTGGGAAGGGTGTGAACTTAACCTCCCGGGCAGTGCCACCGTGCACACCGTCCCTGCAGGACAAACTTCCACCGTGGTTCCTACAACTTGGGAAGGTGCTCTCGAGGCGCACGTCGGGACCAGCCCCGACGCCCTCCTTTGCAATAGTTCTTCCCCGAGGATGGCTCGTTCCCGGGGTGCACTCGACAAAAACCCGCGTCGATTCTCCGCGGTGTCCGGGACACCCGAACTGCTCCGCCCGCCCCGCCGGCGGGAGCAGTGCCGGGCTCGGGCCCGGACCGCGGCCGGGCCCCGCCAACCCGGAGCCACCGCACCGCCCCGTCCCAGCGCCGCGGGCGGGCTGCGGGGCGGCCACTGCCCAGGGGAGCCTCGGCACAGGCCCTGCCCGCACTGCGCCCCGTAGTCACCTTCTGCCGCCGGCTCCGCGCTGGGCCCGTCCCCGCTCCGCGGGGCGCTCAGCTGCCGAAGGTGCCGGCCCGCGCCACCTCGCCGCGCTCTCGCCGCCCGGCCGCTGCCATGACAGGAAGGGGCGGTGGCGCGGCCGGGGGCGGGCGTGACCCGGCCGGGCCGTCTCCGCTCTGCTTGCACTCCTGGCGCGCTCGGCTCGGGGGTGCCGCTCCACCCGCGGGATTTCCCGGGGGTAGAGCCGCTGCCAGCGGCCCGGGCGGCCCCCGGCCCCGCAGAGGGTGCCGGCGGCCCCGAGAGGGGAGCTCGCCAGGCCGGCCTGGGCCCCGGGAATACTGCGAGACCGGGCGCCTCCTGGGAGAGCCTGCCGGGGGCGGCAGCTGCTCCCGAAGGCGACTCCCAGATGGAGTCCCGGGGTGCCCGTGGTGCCGTGAAACTCGGCCCTGAGCACGTCAGCAGAGGGAGCGGGGGCCACACGCACCCACTGAGGCTCGATTGAAGTTAAAATTATAAAAATAAAAAAAAAAACTGCGCTTTTTTTCCTTTTTTTCTTTTTTTCTTTTTTCTTTTTTTTTCTCCTCTTTTTTATTTTATTTATTTTTAAATAAATAACACAAGTCAACTTTAGCTCAGTTACATTTCAGATTTAGGCCCTCTTAACAGTACTAAAGAGTGCCATCATAGCCAAGTCCTACTCTGAGGAAAGCAGTTAAAGCAGTTTTATAGGCTGGAGAGCAGCCTGCAGCCTTGTAAAAAAACCAGAAGTGTTACCAGGTAATTAAAGCACCCACCAAAATCTAAGTTCAGCTTGTCCCTATTTTTATCTTATTTATTCTTTGGACAAGGCTACTTGTAGAATTAGCATATTAGGGTGTTTTGTCTCATTAGCTAGTTCTAATCAAAGCTCAGTTTTTGTTTTTCAGTTGAAAAGGTGTGGTGCTTCATGTCTTGTGTTCTCACAGTGCTTCCTTAGACTTGTGCAAAACCCCAACTTTTGTAAACAGTTTGCTTTACAGAAACAGTTTCTGAAGAGCTGCTTAAAGAGGAGATCCAGATAGATTGTTCAACGTACATATAACTTTGCCGGTTTTACAGTTTTTCAGATCTTTAGTACCCGAGGCTTCATGTTCAGTTCTGAAGGCATTTTCTCAAGAAGCTGATGCCAGATAAATTCATAGGAGAAAAATCTTGAAATTTTGGGGAATGTTGTCACGGCATGGAGAAGAGTAATGCTTACAATGCCTGGCCCATTCCTTAGTCAATTGCAGATAAATCATAAGCCCTAAAGAACCTGAAGAATGGCAATTTCAAGTGCAGGAGCTGTCATCTTAATCACTGCTGTCACTTCAGAGAGTGGGCCTTGGAGTATTGACCCTCTTAGTTCCCTGCTTGGCCTATTTACTCTATCCTGCACTGTTGACAAGTAAATGTTACACTGTTCTGCAATGTCAAAAAATGTTTAGTTTATCCCTGTAAATTTCAGTGCTGTATTTACTGTCGCAATCACCAACTAAAATTTTCAGTAGTTGTCATTTAGTTCCACAAAACAGATGCGAGGGGGTTGAACAACGACTTTCTTTTATAACTAGAAATGTCAGTACCAAAGATCTGTGAATTCTTTGGACCTAAGAGTTTTGAAGGTGAGCAGTATAAAATCCAAGGGGAAGACTGGGCTTAACACACTCCTCTTAATATCTCAAGAATTGTGCATATTTACAGGATGTAGAAAATACCAATTGTAAGATATATAATTTATTAGTAATATCATGGAAGTGCCATTGAGAGCTAGAAAGCTGTGTCATTTGGGGATATGTCTTTGGCTTATTAGCTCTTTCAATGCCATTGCATTTTGTAGCTTTGCCTTCAGAAGCAGCGCTGCTTTGGAAAAAAGCCAACAAAATCCAAACAGTGAAGGAGGTTCTATTGGTTTTTGTGCTGTCTGAATAGCAGAGAAATGTGTATTCAGCTTGAAGCTCTGCCATCAACTTCCTGCATCACCTCAGGCAAATCTTCCTTTTGACCTATCACCACTTTGATTGCTTAGCTCAAGCTATTATGTAACTAATATTCAGAGGAAAGACGGAGAATTCCCTTAGCTGACAAGCTAAAGCTTTGTAAATTTTGAGCACAAGGCTAAAGAGGTATATGTGAGACTGGAAATTGAAAATAAAGTGCACTTTCTGGAATAGAAAAAGTTATAATCAACTACATCATGAAGGGAGGATTTGTGGGGTTTTATGGTTGTTTTTTTTTTTTCCCCCTCCTTGATTCATCTGTTTTTTGAGAGCCATTTGTTTATTGCAAACACCCCTAGCTACCTCAGCCGTTCCTCATAGGGCCTGTGCTCCAGTCTCTTCACCAGCCTCGTTGCCCTTCTTTGGACACTCTCCAGCACCTCAGTGGTCTTCCTAAACTGAGGGGCCCAGAACTGGACACAGTACTCAAGGTGCAGCCTAACTAGTGCCGAGTACAGGGGCAGAATCACTTCCCTGGTCCTACTGGCCACACTATTCCTGATACAGGTCAGGACACCATTGGCCTTCTTGGCCACCTGGGCACACTGCTGGTTCATGTTCAGCTTCCTATTAATTAAAACTCTCAGGTCCTTTTCTGCCTGGTCGCTCTCCACCACTCAGTGCCCAGCCTGTAGCGCTGCCTGGGGTTGTTGTGGCCAAAGTGCAGGACCTGGCACTTGGTCTTGTTAAACATCATACCACTGGATTCAGCCCATTTATCCAGCCTGTCCAGGTCCCTCTGCAGAGCCCTCCTACCCAGCAGATTGGCAGTCTCCCCCAACTTGTTGTCATCTGCAAATTTGCTGATGGTGGGCTAAGTCCCCTCATTCAGATCATCTATAATGGTGTGAAACAAGACTGGGCCCAACACTGATCCCTGGGGGACACCACTAGTGACTGGCCACCAATTGAATGCAGTTATATGTTATGGAATATCCCTTTGATCAGTTTTTGTCACCTGTCCTGGCTGTTTTTCCTCCAAGTTTCCCATGCATCCCTTATCTCCTCACCAGTGTGGCAGTACAAAAAGCAGAAAAGGCCTTGGTTCTGTCTAAGCACTGCTCAGCAGTAACAAAAATATGCCTACATTTTTCAAGACTCTGTTCAGCACAAGTCCAAAACACAGCTCCATACCAGCCTCTCTGAAGAAAATAGACTCTATCCCAGCCAAGACCAGCACATCTGAGAAAGTTTATGATCAGTTTTTGGATGTCAGTTGCACTGCTGTAATGCTTACTCTGGTTACCCAGATGATCCTGCCTATAGGTCAATGATTATCTCTTCTGTGTGATCATGTTCACCCTTGAGATGCTTTTCCCTGGTGATACTTAATCTGACATTTTAGCTGACTATCACTATGTCCTCATCTCTCCAGTCAAAGACCTTCATTCAGTTTTTCTCCTACCAAAAACATGACTTGCCTCAGTTGGACTTCACTGTGTGCTTCCCTTTCTTTGAGAAAATAGGCTCTACTGCAACTACCTCATTTGCTTCTTCAGAAAAAAAACAAAGTTAAAATACAGAATCAATTAATTACTTCTATAATTAACCTTTTCCATGTTTACTTCTCAGTCTGCTGTCACACAAATGTTGACTTCATTATTTCTCTTACTTTCTCTCTCATTATCCTCTCCTCTCCCCTCCTATCATGTGTGTCTAATTCATCTTGCCTTCTTTTTTCCCTACTGTTTCTCAAAGTCCTTAAGTTTCCTCTCAATTAAATGTAGATAGTCACAGATCATTCCTGTCATGAAAACACCTATTAGATTCCCTTCTAGTAACTATCACTTCATCTGTTTTATTCCTGTCACCTCTATCTTCTCCAAACATGCAGTTCAAAACTGCTCTAATTACATCCTACATCTCCTTCAGTGTAGTATGGCTTAATCCTTCCTTCATCAGCTGGAGCCACTCACATTGATACCTTCAGTTAGCAACTTAGGCATAAAGGCCTGTGTTTCATCTGTCTCTGACAGATGGACTATTTTTGAAACTCTCATTCCTTTTCCCAAATCCAGCAAACACTTAAAAAAGCCCCCACTGCCCTTCCAAAAGATTATTCTTTCCAAATTCTTCACTTTTACTTCTTGAGCCTTTACAGCTGACTCTTTTTTTTTTGCTGCTGAGAGTGTGCTAGGCTTCCATCTGTGTTTTTATCTCTTGACTCTCTAGACATTGTCCCTGGATGCCCTTGTTGACAAATACAGTTTTGAACACCATCCATGACTCCTTTTCCTTTGTCTTTTCTCTCTTTTTATTCCCACTTGATTGTATTGAGGTCTTACTGCTAGTAGCACAGCAGCTCCTAGGCCTAACAGTTCTCTCTGACTGTATGACCCAAAGTCACGCCCTGTCTCCCACAGTGACCCCTGCAGCTTTATTTATTCAAAGTGTTGCTGCAAAGGGGCATCTCTCTGGTTTCTCATTTTTCCCGTGTTCCTTCTCTTCTTAAACCTCTGGTGTTGCATTTCCTCTTTTGCTGAACCAAAGATAATTTTCTTCTCAGTCCTGGAAGAACTTTGCACTATAATCTTCCTTCATACTGGCTTAACCTATTGCCATTGTCAGGAGGTTAACTTCTCTCTTTCTTTTGTCACCCCTGGCAGACTTCTTTTGATCCCTCCAAGAAGCAAAACTTTCTTCTTTCTGAGAGCACAGAAAGGCTTACAGAAAGAATGGTACCACTTTTTGATAGAAAATTCTTTCCTTTGGGGTCATACACTTCCTGCTGTCCTTTATACAGACATGAAAATAAAGGATTAAATAGTCCAATGATTCCTTTTCCCTCAGTCCTTGGCTTCTTTAGCCTGGCAGGGGATCTCCTCTGCCTGCTGGAATCTCTTTGAGCTCTCCTGCCAGCACTTGAGAGATGTCTCTGTGCAGTGCTGGCTGGAGCAGAGAGGCATGGAGGCAGCTGCCAGCCCTGCAGAAAAAAAGCTCCAGAGTTGGTGCTGGCAGGAGGCAGGAGCAGCCAGACTGCAGGATTGAGTGCAGAGGATGCCAGACAGAGTTAAACACCCATTGATTGACTTCCCTGCTGAACTCTGCAGGGCAGTGTGAGAGCTACCCATCAATATGGCAAATATGGGGATTCCCTGTGATTATTGGGAACACTCTCA